ACGCATTCCATTGGAAAATCTTGTGGGTTTCGCTGCAGACAATGCATCGGTCATGATGGGGAAAACATCTGGGGTTAAGGCCCTTTTGCAAAGGCATCAGCCTAATTTATTTACGATGGGATGCATATGCCATTACCTCAATTTATGCTCATCAGCCGCATCTAAACATTTGCCAAAGAATTTAGAAGTACTCGTCAGAAATATTTACTCATTTTTTTCATAGTGCTAAAAGGCGTGTTGAATACAAAGAATTTAAGAAATACTTTTCAACGAAACCTCAGAAGATTCTTAAATTGTGTTCCACTCGATGGCTTTCGCTTGAAAATGTTGTATCGAGAATACTGGAGCAGTGGTCTCCACTGCAGCACTTTTTTTATTGTATGAACTCGAGGAAAATGCGGATTTAGCTCACGCTATATCAGTTATGATGACAGAGAAAAACAAAATCTATTATTCTTTTCTTGCATATATTTTAGATATTACAAACAAAATTAATATAGAGTTCCAATCCGAAAACCGAGAGTTCATGCGCTAATATCATCAATTAAAGCTTATTTTAAAACAATATTACAAAATTTTGTAAAAGAAGATAGTTGTAATGATATAATACTGGGAACGAAAAATTTTAATTCTCCAAATATATTTTTGGAATTAGATGAGATTCATATTGGAGCAAAAGCTTTACTAATTTTAAATAAAACTTCGTTAAATACACAAGAAGTAAACGAACTAAGATGTCTTTGTAAATCATATTACGTTGAGCTATGCGGTCAAATTTTACGTCGCATTGATTTTAATGATAAAAGCCTTTGTAACTTGGAAATTATAAATCCTCAAAACTTGCATCCGAGTTTGGTTCCCTTGGTAGAACTTTCCCTAATTTAATTGATGAAGAAAATATCGAAAGCTTAGAAGAAGAATGGAGAACATTAAAAAATTTAGAAAGATTTTCAGATGTAACTGATGTAGAAAAATTTTGGGGAGATGTTTTCGAAAAAAAAAATTCTTTAAATGAAAATATGTTTCCTAATCTTAAACATTTTGTTGGAAGCCTACTCTCTTTTCCCCACAGCAGGCCACTGCTGAAAGAAAATTTTCCGAGGTAAATTTGATTAAAGATAAAAAAAGAAATGCATTACTGCATGCCACTGTTCACTCTATCCTGACCTCTAAAGAATTGTTAGGAAGAAATTTTGCGGAAAAGTGGGAACCATCTAAGGAGCTACTAGCTAAATATAAAAAGAATGCTTAGACGTTTTTAGCCATATTTAGTACATCATTTATATTGAACATCAAATATGCCATGTAATTTTTGATCAATCTAATGGATAGCTTTTTCAACACGGTTGTCTTAGATATAGAAACGTTAGTGTATTATACTCACTTAATGTGTATAAAAGAAAAATGTGTACCTACCATTGCTAGACATATGGTATAAATTTTTTGTATGAAAATGATTACATAATTTGTTTTTTAAGTCACTGAAAAATGTACGAATATGAATGTAATTTAATACCAGTATCTATATATTAACATTTGTTAATAAAAAATTGTTATTCTGGTAATAAAAATGAAATAGGAAAGCTATTTATATTAAAATAAACGTGTTTTCATATTAGTGACGACATCTCGCGACGTAATGAATGTAATAAGTCAAGTTTAAGGGTTTTTATTTGCGTACTCCTCAAAATGTCAAAATGCTCCCCAAAAATCGTGGTTTTTGCTACCCAACAAAAATGGAAAACGGCAGCACTGCCTGCGGTTTGTGTTTTTAGAAACGTTAACTCGAAAAAAGTTGTATTTACTAAATTTCACTGCAGGTTGAATTCACTGCTTTCGACGTTAGACAATGGAATGATGATGCTATTGAATGCAATGACAATGAAATACAGGAAATATCCGACGAAGATGACTGTACTGTGGAGCCACAAAATACGATTACAGCAAAGGAAGCTATTGAGATATTTAATAGTGACTTGGAATGGGCTGAAGGTGAGATGGTTGACCAAACGGACTTAAATGTATTGAAGAAGCTAAGGGAAAAGGCTGTATTTAAGAAGGTTGAACAAACGAAGCAGCAAAAGCGGATTACCGATTTTTTTTTTCAAAATGAGTTCTTACTTTTTCATAAAATTTAAATAGAACATGAATTTATATCTAAATATTTTGTTTTAAATGCGGTCTTTTTTATTTGTGTAACGAACAAAATGAATAACAAAAGTTTCTTTTGAGGTTTTAACTAAAAAATCATAGTTGTTTTAAAGCGAATGAAACACGATTTTGTTAATTCTTGCTCCTTCCGGAAATATGAACAATCTCGCAAGAATTAACAGGCTTGGTTTTAATTAGTTCATATTATCGCGAGCTCACTGTATTAGTCCTTGACATATATTTTTTTTTCAAAAATAAATATTGGAAATTTCCAAGGATATTCGAGGATAAAGTTTTAAAAGAACATTTTCAATACTTATTCGTCCTGGTGCACCCAAAAATTAATTTTTTTTCTATTCTACAGAATTTTTCCTTTTAATTGATACCCATATGGTTACTCGACAATGCACCGCATCTTTTGAATAATTTTTTTTATTCAACCATATTCTAGAAATTTCAAAGGCCTTTTAAAAAAAACTCCTGACGTCAGAGAGAAAAACTAAAAACGCAGTTTTACTATATTTGGCCCCCAGTTTTCTGAATATATTGATTTTTTCGTGTGTAAAATTGATTGTCGCACGGTGTGATACGTGAAGTGATTTTTTGTCCAGGCCACCAGATCTGCACCGTAGAGGTGTCAAACTATCGATGGTACTATCGATAGTTTTATTTTTTTGGCCCTATCGATGAGTAGTGATAGTTTTTCTCTAAAACTCTTAAACTATCGATAGTACTGGTTGACTAGCACAGCCGATTTTATTCATAACTTCTCCATTTTGTGTAGCTGCGCGTCGGTTTGGTATTTTCAAATTGCAAATTTTAATATTATAGGTGATATTTTCTTTGTGCTTCCTTCTTTAAGGTCCATTTTCTCAACCAACCTCTAATTGAAAAGCTCGTCTATATTTAAACGTTGCTTTAAAACTTATAGCTATGTCTAAAGAGAAGCATTTCTATTATCGGGTTTTCACGTATGTATATATGTTTCTTGGCTGTAAACAAATCAAAAAAATTATATTACGAAATTTAAACAATTTTTAATAAATATGTAAATAAATAAATAAAATTCGATAATAAATTGCTTTACTTTAGACACAACTATACATTTTAAAGCAATCTGTAAATATAAAGTGAGCTTTAAAGTTAAAGGTTGCTTGAGAAAACGGCCCTAAGTGTGTTTATTTTCCCAATTATTTGTTTTTTTTTTGTATTTCGATGCCGTCCCGGTTAATTTGGAACAGTTGTTATCATTACACTGACTATCGATAGTACTATCGATATTAGCGCTTGACACTATCGATAGTATTGCTGCAAACTATCAACGAGTAATGATAGTTTTTTTTCTGAAACATGGAAACTATCGATGGTGGCACTATCGATAGTTTTACAACTCTACGGCTGCGGTAATACTGACTTTGTGCACCAAACAAAGAGCGTAAATTTTCCTCATATACACAATAAGCCATCGTTCGGACTTTACTCCGATAGGAGTAGATTTGTTGCAATTTGTCGAAATAATTTGAAACCTAGTCCTCTACTCCGCTCAACTAAAAATCTGCTCCGTTTTATGGCATCAACAAATTTACTCTTCAAATAGAAAGGAGGTGGGGTTTTTAATAGCAAACTAAAAGTTATATATTACTTCCTTTTTTATTATGGAACGAATTTCCGTCATCCCTTGTCAAATTTGGTTTGGAG